ACCCGACAGCACCCCGCGGGCCCCGACGGCGGCAGTGGGGGCGTAGAGGATGCGCGGCCTGAGCCTTTCGCCGGACCCGCGTCGCCCTGCGCCGCGCCCGCCCCGATGCGGGAATCCCTGTGCAGGGCTGGGGGCCGCCGGGAAGATGTCGCCTCCCCGCGCCTCCGCCTCCGAGCTCTGCCCGCTGTGCTGGGAGGTGGGTGGGGGCCCTGCCAGCCCAGCGAGGCCGAAGCTGGGGAGCACCAGGGGGGGACCCGCTGGTCCACCGCTGGCGGCACCTCTTGGAAACTTTGGCCAAGCCGGTGTGTCCGGACAGCACAGGGCGGCAGAGAGGGGTGCAGGGGCCCCTGGGTAGAAACACGCAAAAACGTGGGAAGCTTGGGGAGACAGAGGACGTCATTCCAAAGCTTAATTGCAGACATTTGTGTTTAAGCCTTTTATTCCATTTGTGTGCCTGGTTTCGTTTGCTTTTGTTTTTCTGAGAGGGCAGACTCTTCAGCAAGCGCTCCCAAGGCTGGAACCTCACTTGAGCCTTTCTCCCAGAGGTCAGAGCCGGCTGTGCATTTCAGGGGGCTGGGCAAGCCACCGCCCTCTCCTGGGCAGGTGTCCCCCAGACCTGGTGCTAAAGGTTGGTGTTCTTCCTCCAAGGCGCACAGGGCCGGGGGCCATAGCTGTCACTAAACTGACCCGGCGGCCTGAGCTGCAAGTCTGGAGATGACAAGCTGGCGGCCTCCCTGGGCGCCGCCCCTAAGGCTTGGAAGACTTTCACAGAACCTCAGGGTGGAAACTGGTGTCCTCCTTCACACCCCTGTCGCCAAACACCTTATCCCACCTTGTAAGTACTGGGGAAAGGTAAAAGTCAAGTTGCGAAGATTCTAGAACCCTCCTGAAATAGTGTGAAAAGTTGTGTGGCTTAGAATCCCGCCTCTGTCCACAAGCCTGTGTGGGCCCCGCCCTCAGCATTGTGTCCAGGGGTGACCATCCCCTTTTGCACCTATGGGCGTCTGGGGTTTCTTCTTCCCAGTCATTCTGGGCTGGGCAAGGATGAAGCTCCGTGCAGCAGCTCCGGCCTGGTGCCTATCGCCCGCGGGGATCTGTTCTGACCCCTCCTTGACCGCGCTGAGCCTGGGAAGCGGGTCTGTCCCGGTCTTGGATAACATTCCCCAGCCTGTAAGTCGGTGCCTCCTCCCACATGAGTCATGAGGCCAGTGCCTGGAAGCGTAAAGATAAACAAGGCACCGGAGCATGAGCACTGCTGGGTACTCTCTATGCCCGGACCCAGTAAACAGCCACCTAAGGGCAGGAGGCAGAAGAGAAAGGGTTGGGTGGGTCAGAGAAAATTCTAGGTCAGAGGCTTTCTGCGAAGAATCAAGTTAGAGTCCCTCAGTCCACAGGGTAATCCCATAATCATGGTCAGGGGAGAGAGGACCGGCCAGAGCCCAGGGCAAGGGGACACACGCCAAGCAGCCAAGCTTTGGAGCAGCCCCTGGAGGGGCCAGCACACATTCCTCCGCCTCCTCCTTGACGCCACTGGGCTCCCCAGCCAGAGATCTGGGCCAGGGAAGGGCCTGAGGGAGAAGACGGCAGAGACAAAAGGAAGTATCCAGAAGTAAGTGCCATCTAGAGGACTGTAAAATTGCTCTTAATTTGAAAAAAAAAAAAAAAAGGCTGGGGAGGGGTGGTGCCGTGTGGGTGCCACGGTGTGGGTGCCATGGTGTGGGTGCCACGGTGTGGCACGCAGCCCCACAGCATCCTGTCCAATGACACACCGCGGACACCACCTTTGCGAGAACCGCACCGTGAAGTCGGCACTGCAGTCGGCACTGCCTGGCTGGGGCATCCCCGGGCCGTAGGTAGGAGGCCATCTGCCCCACTGGGTCTCCCCAACCTCGGATCTGGGGAGACAGCACCAGGAGGAGAGGTTTCTGGGTCAGCTGGTCCCCCGGCACGTCCCGCGCTCATTCTGGCTGCCCTGCTTTCGGCTCAGTGCGTGTCCGCGCTCACTCCTGTGCTCCATTTAGCCCGGGGCCCATGCCGCTAACGGGGCGGGGCGCGCCTGCAGGTGGAGAGCTGCCAGGCCTGCCCCGGGCCTGCACATTCCCAAGGCAGCAGGCCAGGAGGTCTGGGGCTGAAGGAGCCGGGTCGGGCCCCTTCTTGACTGTCCAGGGCAGGTCTGCCCCTGCCGGGCAGGGAGCGGGGGCGGGGAGGTTGCGGCCTGGCTGTTCTGGGTGAGCGCGTGGGTCTCTCCAGAGGCCCTCCTGGTCCTTGTCCCGTGGCTTCATGGACGAAGGCTGAATCCGGGCGGAGAATGGACAAGCTGCTCCGGGCCCCCGGCGACATCTCCGAGGTGTCAGCCTCCCCCAGCCCCGCGGCCCGGGAACAGTTGCTCTGGCGGCAGTTTTCTCTGATGAAGAAAACAACTTTGTCCATTAGGAAGTCAGCCATCAGCCTGTCATTTTGCTTCTTGCCAAATGTGAATTCCTCGCTGTGGATTTCCTCCTCGGCTGGGCCTGAACAAAGAGCTGTTCAAAAGCTTGTGGCTTCAGCTGCCTTTGTAGTTTCATTATCCACTTTTCAAGGAACGATGGAAAGACAATGTTTAGGCTGCCAGGAGGGAGAAGAGGCGCCCTGGGGTGGGACCCTAAACTGCCGCTCAGAGCCTCGCCTAGTCCTCAGTCTGCTACTGGGGGGAGGGAGGACATGGGGGCATCAGTCCCAGCCAGGGATTAGCTTAGGAGACCAGGAGAGTCGGCTCCGTCCTGCCTTGTTGCCTCAGCTCGGCCAGCGATGACGCCCATTCTGCAAGCTGGCTTCTGTACCCTCCAGTGCCCCTCTATTTGCGGGCCCCTCCTTTCTGGGTTTTGAGTTCACCCCCCTCCCACTGCCTGCTGAAGTCACGGAGGGCAGAGCACCCCCAACCTTTCGGCCCCGTGTCTACCTGCTGCCCTTCTTGGGAAAACCCCTCGGGCAGCCGGACATCCCAGTCTCTGGCTCCTGTTGCCCAGAGCAGCAGGAGTGTGGAGGAGGCAGCGGGAAGACACCCCACGCTCTGTTTAACTACTGAGGTTACAGAGGAAATCAAAGGAAGAAAGTGAGACCATTCTCTTCCTGCTCCCAGGGAGAGTGTCCTGGCTGGAGACCAGTTCTGGGAAAAGCCTACAGCCGTCTGGCCCAGCCGGACCTGACAGAGGAGGATGCGGCCCTGCAGCGCAGGGGGGCCGGACTGGGTTGGGGGGCTCGGACTCGCCCCAGGCCGCAGGGGCAGAACCCAGGGACCACCTGGTGGTGGGAACCCGCACTGCTGGTTTGGTTCTTTTTCTGCGAGGTAGACTGTCTTCTAGAAGCAGCATGGGGGACAGAACAGCTTGGGGAAAGCAGAAGCCCGCACAAACAGCACCAGCAGCCATAGAGGTCTGTGCCCACAGGAGTCCAGGACTGTGCTCCAGGTGAAGGCCGGAAGCCGCCCTCCGCCATCTGAAACCAGGGCTAAGAGCCGGTGGGCCCCGGCTCCTCCCAGCACGGGGCAGCGGCCGGGGGGACCCGGCGCCAGGGGCCGCAGCTGGAGGTCAGCGCCCGGTCTCAGCAAGTGGGGTAACAAGCCAGCCGCACAGCAGGAGGGTCCCTACCTGGCGCGGCAGCCACGCCCAGGCTCCTTGCCCACGACACAGGTACCCCAGCCACAACTCCACGCCAGCTCCCTCGGGCACGTCAAAGGCCGTGCGCGGTGCCAGCTGGAGTGGCAGCGGGGCCTCCCAGGGAACTGGCGGGCGCCCTGCTTCTTCGGGCACCGGGAGGTGTCTGTCTATATTGTTTCGCTGTAATTGTTATCTTTTATATTCCACGACAAACTGTGCAAAAAGAAGGCCGGTGACTTCATCAGCGCCTCGTCTCCCCGCCCTCGGTCGCGGTGCCCCTCGTCCATGCTAAGCACTGCCCCGCCATCAGCTCTCCCAGCCCTGGACCTTCAGGGGGGCCCTGTCACCTCTCAGGACACGAGGGCTCCGGACCCCTGTCTGCTCCCAGTCACCCCCTGTTCGTGCCCCTCCAGGAGTGAGTGTAGTGCTCACTCCTGCAGGGAGCCCCGTGCCGAGGGGAGTCCGTTCCGAGGGAAGCCGACCTTTCCGTGAAGCCACCCTGGCCCCTGGCGGCTCTCCTGCCCCCGAAGCACCCCCAGTGGCAGGAACCTTTTCGAGGGATTCGTGGGAGGCGGGTACAGAGCGGGTACAGGGCAGGTACATGGCGACAGGCCTCAGGCCGGAGCCCAGCAGAACTGGCCCAGGCCCCCTGTGCTCAGGGAAAGTTCCTTCCGGGCTGAGCCTCGCTTCCTCCAGCACAGGGAAGACCAAAGAGCTCTTGAGCCCAGCCAGCCCGCCGCTCAGCCCAGCTAACTCCGCTGGTGCCTGCGGAATAGCCGACCGCCTCCACCCAGCTCCGTGGCGTGACCATCCACATTTGTGGCCATTCTCAAAGCGACGCGACAGTCAGAGAAACAAAGGGCCGAAGGGGCTTCCCTGCGCCACCATCCCTGACCCCTCGGGCCTCCCTTCGCTCAGCCCCCCCCGGGGGTCCTATCCCTGCCCCCTGGTCTCGGCAAGTGCTCTGCATGGCCTGTCCTCCCCGGCAGCAGGTCCCGGGGTCGCGGCTCCTACCTGCCCACCTCCCTGACGTGGCCCCTCTGCAGAAGCAGCTGCCTCTCATGGTTCCTGCTGGCTGAAGTGTGTTCCGCCTTTTAGCTGACCTGTACAAAAATAAATAAAGCCATTTTTTATGAAGTGGTTGACTCCAAAAGGTAGGATTTTTTTTTTTTTGGGTATAGGCCAGAGGGTTCATCAGAGACAGAGTGGGGCGCAGAACAGATGGATTCACTGAAGTCCACTGCTGAGGGGGCAGCGGGGAGACAGGTGAGGTCTGCTGCGCCCTGTGGGTCACTCCCTGGCCAGGTTGCTGCTGAGACTGAACCCCTAGGCCAGGATTGCATGTTTCAGAACTGGGCTGTTCCCTCAGAAGAAGCTGAGGGGCCCTGGCCAGCGGGGGGCAGAGCCCACGGGCTCTGCTTCATGAGGCTTTGCTGCCCCGGCCTGGAGCTCGGCCAGGAACAGCCTCCTGCCTCGGGTGTTGCTGTGAGGACCAGAGGAAGAGCCCATCCTCTGTGGGGTTGAGGCCACCCTCAGTGGCCCGCCACCCCGCAGGGGGAGGCCACTGTCCACTCTCATCATATGTCATTGGCTAACTAGAGAGAAAGCTCCCTGGGTCCAGCCCTCTGCTCGGAGTGGCTTACTCCGGGGTCCCGTCAGCGGTTGTTAAGCTGAAATGGGCCGAGGAGGGGCTCTTACCCACAGACCGTAGGCTGCAAACCAGGCCCCTCTCCCCGGAGCCAGGTCCCCAAACGTCCCTGGCCTTGGGTGTCTTCGAACCCCGGGGAGGGGCTCGCCTCGGCATTTCCCACACCGCAAATGCTCGACATAAGTGGCTGTTTATTTTTAGCAAAGGAAAAATCTAATAACATACTTGTGGAGAATCCACGTGCTTGAACATTCTGACGGAGGCACAAGTGCAACAGACCAGTGTGCTCAGCCTGTGCTCTGGGGGCCTGCGGCGTCAGCGACAGAAATGGGGGGCTTCACGTAACAGATAAGGGGGTAACCCTTGTCCTGACTCACCATAAACATGAGGTTTACAATAAATGCCTTTTTAAAAAAAACAAAAACAAATTGATTTATTTATTTATGCAAAACTGGGGTACAGGCCACAGCTGCAGGGGCAGTGAGAGGCTTCACCAGAGACAGAGCGGGGAGCAGACAGACAGATCGACAGAGTGCACTGCTGAGGGGAGCAGCGGGCGGGGCAGGAGAGGTCCGCTGCGCCCCATGGGTCACCTCCGGGGAGGGGACAAAACTGGCACTGAAGCCTCCGTCCTAAGCCGCTGCCCCACCAGGGAGGCCCCTGCAAGAAATGCCTTTGTAAAGAGTCCGAGCTGTGGCTGTATCCAGCATTGTTTCACTTCACCTTCGCAAGAGCCCGGAAGGCCTCTGACCTCACTCTGCAGGGCAGGGAGCAGGACCTGCCTGAGGTTGAGAGTGGAAGGCCTTCCCCGCCCACGGGACCAACGTGCAAGGGCCTCCCCAGGGCCGGCGGCCGCGGGGTGAAAGGGCAGCGCACGGGCGCCTTCCGGACCCCTTCCCACCGCCGCCCCTGCCTTGCCCTGCCCCTGCCTTCTCCGCCCTCACTTCCTCCTATGTTATCTCCTTCTCAGAATTAGGGCCAATTTTCCACCAGCCCTTTGACCCGCCCTCCTCTCCAGCCCACTGAAGTCCTCCTGGGCCTGAGTCTGTCCCTAGGGACAGTGGTGGGTGACGACTGCACCTGGGAGCGTGTCAGGGATCCCCGGGCCGGCAACTGCCTCAGGCCACACAGACACCTGCCCCCCGCTGCGGGCCGCCTGGTGACGGGGCTCAGGGCTCCGTCTGGGCGGCGGGGCGGCTCTGGGCCGGAGCTCCTACAGGCAGGCAGGACACGGGGCTTTCTGTCTGCTCCAGGCCCCTTCTGGTGACCCCCCAATACCATGTGCACAAATGCTCAGCAAAGACTCCCCTTCAGGCCATGCCGCTCCCTGTTTGGGGACAGCACCAGGCCTGGCCCAAGAAGCATGGGGTGGGGGGCCCGGGCCCTTGGGGGTCACCCTCGCCCGGAGGTGCTGCCTTCCTGAAGGCAGATCCACTGCTGCCAACTTTGACAAAGAAAATGCCAGGGGCTTTGCTTTACACAAACACGTCTCACCCAGAACTTCTTCTCCTTTTCCCATTTATCTTCCCAGGGCCCGCTGGCTTCCTGGACACTTCTGAAACCTTAAAGCAGCAAGAGAGATGCCCACCACGGCGCTGTGCTCCGTCCTGCCACGTCCTGGTAGGCTGAAAGCCCCTCTGTGACCTGAGATCCCGAGCACAGCAGGAGGCAGTCGTTCCGCCTCTTGGCACAGCGGCCTGCAGAGGGCTAGCTTAGCGAGCCCAGCGCCCTGCTCCCCTGCTCAGCCGAGATTACAAGCACAGCACTCTCAGGTTAAAGCACTCAACAGCTGGTGCTCAGCTCCCCAGCCCCCTCCAGGCCTGCTGGTGTGTTCCAGAAGGTGCAGAGGAGCTGCGATGCCTGCGGTCCCTACAGCAGGTACTCGGCGCTGCTCTACCGGCCCGCCAACATGTACGCTTCCCGGGTGCCAATAAAACTTTATTTACAACACAGGCAGCGCCCGCCCGCCCGCCCCAGGCAGGCCTGCAGCTGGGCCACTCCCAGCCAGGGGAGCACACCACTGCCCCGGGGCGCAGTTCTTGGGAGCTGCAGTAAACTCAGGTGAAAAAGAAGACTAGTTTTCATGCATAAAGGAAGCAGGACTAAGCACCGTCCCCCCCCAGGTCTGCCAGACACCAGGCCAGCGCGGCCTGGCTGAGCTGAGCGGCTCCTGTGCCCTCGGCATCTCTGGACGATGCCCCGAAGGGCCCTCGCTAAGAATCTGCTCTCAGCACAGCTCTGTGCTTGGGCTCGCTCCTGTTTTGAAAAACCCCTTCCTTCTCTTTCCTGCCTACCTGAATGCTCCCCAGCTTCCACTCTTCCTCC